ACAGCCCCGCCTGCCCGCAGTCCCGGTCCCCCTCCCCCACACCCACCATCTGTGCCGCCACCTCGTAGCCGTCAGGGTTCAGCGCGGGCACCAGGTGGATGCGCGTGTCCTGCACCAGGCTGCGCACGCGGGGGTTCCCGTCACGGTACTCACGGCACAGGTACTGCATGAGCAGCAGCAGCAGCTCGCGGCCCAGCACCTCGTTGCCGTGGATGCCGGCCGTGTAGCGGAACTCGGGCTCCCCTGCAAGGGCAGAGCCTCAGCCTCCTCTCCAGCTCCCAAGGCCAGGGGCTTCGAGACACGGCCCGAACTGGCCTCACTCCCAGGGGTTCCGGGGGCAGCGGGGGGTGGCACGTGGGCACCCCAAGGCACAGGCTCAGCTGCTGTGCCACAGCCTTGTCTCCAGTCTCGGGGAGGGTGGTCCTCACCCAGCTCATGATCCCCGGGGTTGTCCGAGATCTCCATGGCGTAGATCTTGAGCCCACGGGAGCTCTTCCCCAGGCTGTACGTGCGGGTGATGGTGGGACATTCCTCGTTTACCACCTTCATCAGCTGGGCGTGGGGCAGGACGCTGGTTACACAGCCACGCCGCCACCCTGCCACCCTGGCCCAGAGGCCAGGGCTGGCCCTCGCCCCTCAGATGGCTGTCTGGGATGGGGCGAGACTCGGAGCACGGACACAGCTCCGGGGAGCCTTGAGCCCGACCCCTGGAGCTCGTCCTCACCTGGCGCATGTCCTTGTAGCTGTGGTGCCGGAAGTCCAGGTCGTCGGTGGTGACCACCTCGTTCTGTGCGTAGTAGCTGTGGACAGCTGCAGACAGTGGGCACGCAGGGCCCTGAGCCAACTAGCTGCCAGCCACCCTCCGGTCGCCCCCGCCCCCTCTAAGCGGGCCAACCCCTGCACTCACGGGACACGGGGCACCCCAACACTTCCAGGCGCATACACAGGCTGCCATTCCAGGTGAGCGGGTAGACGCGGATGAAGCGGGCCACCACCGGCTCCGGGAACTCGCTCAGCACAGGCGTGTCCTTGTCCACGTTCCCGTGGAAGGTCTGGGAGAGGCAGGCCTCAGAGCCGCACCCCACCCTGGGCCAGAGGATGGGAGCAGAGCGGTGCTGAGGGATCAGACACCTACCATTTCCTCGTAGCCGTTGGTGTACATCACCCATGTTTGGCTGTCATTGCTGAAGCCCACGAAGAAAGAGGTCACAAAGTCGTCACTGGGGAGCGGACAATGGTCAGGGCAAGGGTGCTCTCCCAGCCCAGGTCCCAGACCTCAGGTGGCCAAGCTCCCTCTCCTGGGCCCAGGAACTTAAGAGCTAGCATGTGGTGCTTGCCCTGGCTTCAGGCATGGCTCCCGTGCCAGCTGCATGGCCGTGGACGGGCGGCTTGCTCACGTGGACACTGCCATGGCTGAGGAGTGCGCCGGGGCCCCGGAGGACCCCAGGAGTGCCTCAAATGGGACTCAGAGCCGAACCTGGAACTTCCCGCTCTGCACCGAGTGCCCGTGAGCCTACGTACTGGATGCTGGAGTCACGGCCTTGGGTGATGACGCCTGTGAACTTGGTGGTTCTTCTGGTGTCCACCTCGATCCATTGGGTCTGAGCCTCATCCTCAGCACACCATGCTCCATCGTAGTAGTCGTCCTCAGTGGCACCAGCCTATCGGGCACAGGTGGCTGAGTGGACAGGGGAGCCCCCCACCCAGCAAGAGACAGGCCCACCCCAAGACACACCTGCATGTTGAGCCGGCCGCGCTGGGCCCCCAGGCCGTGGCGCAGCATGGAGGAGGCCCTGATCTGGTTGTCCTCGATGCGGTGCGACTCCATCCCAATGGGGGGGCACTCTGGGGACGCAGCACCCCAGGTCGTGGGCTCCACCCGCCCCACCAGCAAACCGAGCGCCCCGGAGCCCAGGGCCCACTCCCCACACACCAGGGATGCAGCCAGGGCAGCTCTCCCGGCCTGTGCTCCCTTCCCGGGGCCTCGGCTTCCCCATCAGAAGAACGGGCTGGTGATGCCCCACCCCAGGGGGCCACGGGCTCAGGTGAAATCCCAGGGAGAGCCACCCCAGGGCCCAGCAGTCCCAGGCGTCGCCCACATCTGCCCCATGCCGTGAGCTCGGTCCCCTGGGCCCCAAGAATTTAAGAGCAGAGTGTTCGGGAGGCCGTCAGGACACCCGGGTTGGGGCCCCCACGTGGCCCTGGGTGGGCCACTTGCCCCAGCAGCCTCGCCCTGCTCTGCCCCGCCGTCCAGACCCCCACTCACTGACTCTCTCTGTGGGCGCCCACTCCTCTGCCTCCTCACCCTTCCGGGGCCCTGTGGGAGACAAAGGGCAGAAGTGGTGGCAAAGGTCCTGGAGCCCCAGGTCCAGCTGCTCCGCCTCTAGGACCCGGCCCCCAGCCCCAGACACACACCTTTGTGGTCCCTGCTCTTCTCTGGTGCCCACCTGTCATCCGTCTCCTCTTTGTGGCTGCTGCCCTCCTTCTTGGGTTTCTCTGCAGGGTGGAAGGTGGGAGGGGCCCATCAGCTCAGCTTCAAAAGGTAGGTGGGGGGCAGGTGGGGATCCGGGCCAGCTGGGGGCAGGTAGGGGCACAGTTTGGTCCCACTCACTCAGCCCCTCCTTCTCTTCGTCAGTCTCCAGCTCTGTGTCAGGCTTCCGGGGGCCGGGAGGCCGGAAGTAATAGTCCACTGGTGGGGACAGAGCTCAGTGAGATGCCCGCACCGAGCCCAGGGCCCCACGGGCAGGGAGGGGCAGGAGGGGCACAAGGCCAGGAGGAGGGTACTCCAGGAGGGGTGGCGCCTGCAAGACCCCAGGAAAGCTGGCAGCCTGGCCCAGAGAAGGGAGAGGAGGCCCCAGCAGGCCAGGGTGGCAGGCGGGGCACAGGAGGCGAAGCAGCCTGCTGGGGCTCAGGAAGAAAAGGCGGGAAGGGAGGGCGATGGGGGACAGCAAAGTCAGGAACCAGGCGGTGTCACAGGAAGGCCCAGCTTGAGCGAGGACAGCAGACAAGGACGGCAAGGCTGGTGGCACATGGGGGCAGCAGGGTCCGTGCCACCAAGCTGGAGTCACAAGGGGGTCAGGCCTGTCCTGGATCAGGGACCTGGGGACTCACTGTTGTCGTAGTCGGGGATCACGTAGCCATCCCCGTAGTCGGGGAGCGGCGGGCGTGGTGGGGGCGGCGGGGGCTTCAAGGGCGTCCCTGTGGGTGGGTGTGTGAGCGAGTGGAGGGCCCAGAGCCCCAGCCCGCTGGCCCCCTGCCCCCTGCCCCCATCCTACTGATCCGCTCTGTCCTCTCCTCGGGGTCCTCGACCCGCCCTGGGGGATCAGCCTTCTCGGGGCGCTGGGGCTTCCTCCTGCTGGGAGGTGGTCTGGGCTGCTTCTGGCGCCGTATGTACTCAACTGCGGGCAGAGGGCGCTCTGAGCCGGGGGTCAGAGGCAGCGGGGTGGGGAGTGCGGGCCCCTCGGCGGGGGTCGCGATGGGGACAGCGGGGCACACTCACAGTCCTCGTAGTCCTCCCGCTCTATCTGGTCATTGTAGTCCAGCGTGGGCTGCTCCGCCTCCTCCTCCAGCTCTGGGGAAATGCTTGTGGTGCCTCACGGAAGACACTGCCGCCCCACCCGGCCCACCCCGGAAACCCGGCAAGCTGAGGCGGGGGTCCCCGGGACAAGGTGGCTGGCGCCCACTCACCAGGCTGGCGTCCGACGTGGGTCTCTCCTCTCGGACCCTGCCAGGGACTGGGGAGGCCCCCACCTGCAACACGAACCCCCAGGCAGATGGATGGGCGGCCTCCCTGGCCACAGGACTTACACCAGACCTGGGCCTGCTGACACCCCCTGAAGCCTCCGCTCACTCCCAGGAGGCCTGGATTACGACCTGCCCTCACACCCTACTGGCACCCCAGGGCCAAGAGCTGGCTAGCTGTGTGGGGAGCCCAGGCCCTGCTGTGTATGGGGCCCTGCAGCAAAGCTGACCTAGCAAGAGGCACCCTGTGGGCTCAGAGCCCAGCAACACGCAAGGGGTGGCTCTGGGTGGGGTCCAGGTGACGGATCCCAGGAGAGTGGAAAACAAACCCCTCCACGAGGCTGCCGACCCCCCAGGTCCCCCACAGAGGGCCTGAGGGCACTCCAACCCCCTGCTGTGTTTGTGACTGCATAGGGGCCCCCCGCAGTCTGCAGGAAGCGGTGGCCAGGGGTCCACCCCCACCTCTCCTTCCCCATAGCCTGGCAGGTCAGGGCCCCACAACCCTGCGGGGCCCATACGCACCTCTCTCAGGCAGCAGCTCCCCCTGGCTGGGGTCGAGGGGCGGGGGCAGTGGCCACCAGGGGGCTTCTGAGGGGGTCTGGGTGGGGGGCCTCTTCCCAGCCAAGGGCCTCTTGGTGGCCTTGGGTGGCTTCTCCTTGGGCTTCTTGGTGGCCTTGGGTGGCTTCTCTTTGGGCTTCTTGGATGGCCTGGGGACCCCCTCCAGCGGCTGCCTGGTCGCCTTGGGGCCTTTGTCCTTCTTCCCTTTCTTCCCTCTCTCTTTGGCCTTTTCCGGAGGTGCTGTCCGAGATGCAGATTTAGGTCGAATCAACAGACAGCCCAGTCACCCTGGGCACAGGGCCTCCTGTTCATCTCACGGCTCCAAAATCGGGAAACTGAGTGGTTAGGTCACTTGTCCTGGTGGCAGAGCTGGGACTGGGACGCAGGCTTTCTGTCTGCGAGTCTGCGGTCGCCACGCCCTGTCCTCCCACCTGCCAGCACTTCGCCTGTCGAGGCCCCTCACAGCCCACCTCTCTTCCCCACGTCTGCTCGGCCTGCCAGGGAATGCTCGTTAGTCTGCTGGGCACGGGAGGTGCAGAGGTGACTAAGCCATGAAGGCCTGGGGGACACCCAAGTCTTGTGGGGGACGCAGTCTCATCCTTGCCAAGTCCCACCGGAATGAAGGGCAGAGTGGGGTTGGACAGCGGGGGTTGGGCACAGCCAGGCCTCCCTGAAGCTCCCTGCAAGGGCAAGAAGAGCTTCAGCGGGCACTGGTGGGTGATCCCCGATCAGAAGTCAGGTCTGGGGTGGTTGGAAGCCATAACCAACAAGGGGTCCTGGAGGCAGCAGCTGCTCCCCCATCTCAGAGCCCGGGGCAGGAAGCAGGCATAGGGCCTGGGACTGCCTACAGGACTCTTTCAGGTCCCTGAGCAAACGCTGTTGAGAATTTAAAGGGTGGGGGCCACCAGAAGCAGGGCAGCCCCCGAAATGCCCAGGATGCCTGCACAGCAAGCCTGGAATGCGAGTGTGGCGGGGCGGGTAGGCCCGCTGAGTCCCAGGACACGCCCCCAGGGTGGGGGAGGAGCCAGGAATGATCTAGAGCGGGCAGGAGCTGCGGATCTCAGGAATGAGGAATGCTGGCTTGGAGTCTCCTGGGGGAGATCCACAAGACCCTTGCCACCCCGAAAGCACAATAAGCAGCTAAGGTTTACTGACAAGTGTTTATGTAAGAGGCGGATGAAATGCTTTGGGAATGCATCACCTCACGGGAGCGGACTACCCGCGCCTGGCTCCTGGGAGCCGGGTGGGGGGCGCTTCCGCCTCAGTGCTCCCGGGGTTGGCCAGGCAGGGGGTGCTGGGGACCCTCCCGGCAAGGCTGAGGCTGGCAGTGACTTGAGCCCTGCCAGTGTGTGTCACAAACAGGCCGAGTAGCCCCGCGAGCACGTAGGACAGCTCACAGCAGAGCCAGGGAGGGGGCAGAAAAGTCCTCTGCTGGTTCAAGCCTAGTCCCCTTGGGGGACTGGGGATGGGGAACTGCGACAGCCAGAGCTGCTGGGCAGCGGACTTGCCGAAAGTACCTCTGTGGCCCAAGAGCTACGAGCCAGCAATGACCTGGGGACCCCCTCCAGCGGCTGGGCCGTCCGTGCCCTGCAGGGCCGGTCCTCACGCCGGGCAGCGTGGACCGCCGCCGCCCAGGCCGCCACTGCCCCCGCCCGGCCCTTCC